GCGCGCCCCCGCCCCGCGCGCTCTCGCAGACCTGGGGAAGCAGTGCGCAGCGGTCAGCACCCACTGAGGGGCGACCAGCGATCCTCCGCACACGTGCGCCCCGCGGTGCTGGACGCTCGCCTGCCACGGCCACTCTCCGTCCCGGGCGTCCCGGCCGCCCACGATCCGGCTGGCCACGCGGGGCTGCCCGCAGGCTGCAAGGAACAAGTGGGGGCAAGGGTGGGCGGAGGACTGGGAGGCTGTGGCGGTGTGGGAGGCGGGGCACCCAGCCAGGCATCAGCTTCCTTACCTGCGGATTCTGGGTTACCCGCAGTTCCTGGAGGAGGAAGTGGGCCGGGCGGATTATGGGTTTAGTGTCAGATGTCTCAAGGGGCGGGGGAGGGCAGAGATTAGGAGGGAGGGTGGCCGCACATTGAAGCAGTGACTTCATTCGAGGTTTTGTGCCCGAGTCACAAAGCCCTCCCTACAGCCCTTTAGGCTCACTGCCCCGTGGGCACAAGGCGGAGCCTTGCGGAAGCAGGATCGCTGGCAGAGAGAGTGGAGCCAATATAAGATGCCCCAGAGTGCCCTAGGGGAGCCCGACCCAGAGAGGGGAGAAGCGGGGCTGGGTCCCTCTAACCAGGCCTCGCAGTGACTGTCCCCACTCACGCAGCATCAGGAGGAGCAGGACCTGGCCGCCAAGTACCCTCCACATTCTGTCTTCAGCGATGAGCTGGGGGCAGGTGGCACTGTCCAGGTCTGGAGCCAGCCTGCCTAGGTGGATGTCCCCAGAGCCCCTCTGCCTGCCCTTAGCCTCTGCAGCCTCCCCACCAGGGACCAGAATGTGCAGCCCTGCCCCCAGCCAGCCCCTCCACTGCACTCATCACATCCAGCCCCTGCCCCAGGGGGCCCCTGTGCCCCGGTCTCACCCTCTGGCCTGGTGAACTCCTGGCTGACTGGGTCAGGGGAAGGTCTGGGGGCTTAAAAGGATAGGAGTGGGCAGGCCGGGTCAGCCAGGGGGTTACTGACAGGGCCCAGGGCGTGGCTGTGGCCTCCCCAGGTCTGCCTGAAACAAAGATGCTTTCAGCAGGGACTTTGGCAGCGCGGGAAAGGGACGCCCAGGTTTGTGGGGCCCAGGGATGCTGCGGTCAGGCCTGGGAGCCCTGGGGAGGCTTCTTGGCAGCTCCTCTCTGATCGGAGCCCTTTCAAAGCAGGCAGCACCTAGTTGGACCCAAGACAGGAGCGGATGTGACCTTGGGGGACAGTCCAAGACCAAGGGAAGCTACCGGTGTAGGGTGAGGCCATGAGGGTTGGGAACAGGGCCAGGGACCGTGCTTGGCATGCTCCCAATCCTCTCAGGTCAAACGAGCACCCCAAGGTCCCACTCTTCCCCAGAGGGCTGCTCCCTGCTTGGCTGGCAGTGCCCCCATTGTCTGCTCTGATGCCTGTTACCTCAGCTCTGGTCACCTCAGGTCGGCCTCCTCCCTGTTTGGCCAGGTGCTGGGCGAGGTTTGAGCCCGTCTACCTGTTGTCCCTGCACAAGGCAGAAAGGGACCTGAGCCCCCCAGAGGCCCCTCCCCCAACAGAGGGCCCCAAGGGTGTGTTTCAAAGGGAGGGCATGCCAGGACCCCTGTCTGGAAGCAGCCATCAGGGTGAGAACTTGACTTGGAGGGTGAGACCCTGATGGTGGGGGCCAACCTCAGGCATCATCTTCCCCATCTGCCTCTGTTCAAGGCTCTTGAGGCCGCCACCTCTGGGTGTGGTTCCCGCTTCCGGCGTGGGGACAGACCCCCTCAGAACTCAGTTTCCCAGCCCAGAGGTGGTCGTGAGGGTGACTGTGCTGGCCTGGCAGGGTCCACGCTAACAGCATTTCAGGGAGAACATAATAACTTCTTGTTGAGTCTGAGAGCCTCGGGGGTTGGAAAGCACCCCTGGTAGCCTGCTTTCATGGGCTTTGCCAGGAACCCTGTTGGTACAACAGCTAAGCAGGAGACGGCTGACTGGAAGGTTGGTTTGCACCCATCTGCCCCTCCATGGAAGAAAGGCCTGTCCTCTGTCCTGGAAAACCATATGGGGAAGTTATGTTCTGACACAGGACTTGGCCGCAGCTGTGAGCACCTGACTACAGGGGGCCAGCAGGAGGCACGGCCAGGTGCGTCATGCTTCCCTCCAGGCAAGGAGGTAGGGTCAGCTTCTGGGAGACAGGCGGAGAGATATTTACAGGTGCCAGTGAGAGTGAGGGTGACCTAAGTGTAGGCCCACTGCCCCTGAGACTCGTGGGAGGCTGGATGCCTGAGGGTGGAGGGAAGGTGGGCTAGAAAGGGGGAACCGATTACAAGGATCTACATATAACCTCCTCCCTGGGAGACTGACAACAGAAAAGTGGGTGAAGGGAGACGTTGGATAGTGCACGATATGACAAAATAATATTTTGTAAATTATCAAGGGTTCATGAGGGAGGGGGAGCGGAGAGGGAGGGAGGGGAAAAATGAGGAGCTGATGCTAGAGGCTTGGGCGGAGAGTGGATGTTTTGAGAATGATGAGGGCAATGAATGTACAAATGTGCTTTACATAATTCATGTATGTATGGATTGTGATAAGAGGTGTATGATCCCCTAATAAAAAGATTTAAAAAAAAAAGAATAAACGGGGTCTCCAACCTCCTGCCGCCAGGTCTCCAGCCAGCTGCCGGGTCTCCGCCCCACCTCGCCTCGGCCCACGCTGTGCGTGGACCTGGCTGGTAAGATCATGGCCATCCAGGAGGTGAGCATGCTACCATGAAATGTGTCTGACTCTATTATTTCAACCTCTCAAGCTCTCTATGACTATGTTATAATATATATATATCTCAACCGTACAATTGCACTTACCGAACCAGTGATTAGTAGTGGGGGGATGGCCCTTTTCCCCACACCACTGTCATCCTCTCAGGTAGATTGTCACCCCCCTTTTCTGATATACGCTAGGGTCATTATCCCCCACCCCCCTGCCTCGTAAGTCACCCCCTCTTCCTGCCTCCCAAGTCATAGTGATTCGTGACCCAAAGTCCAGCCAATCAGAATCCCTGTGCCCCCACCCCAGGCACTAGGCTCTCACACCGGGGGCCCCTGTGAGAATGCAAGACTAGCTGGACTGCTGGGACTGTGGCCTGGCCACCCTCTACCCCCCAAAGTTCACACCTGGCTAAAGGGCACACTCACCACCCTGTCCATGAGGAGGCGATGATGAGCTGCTTTTCCACATGGTGATCATGTGCTTCCTGGAATCACCCCTTCACCCATCCTCATCTCAGCCCACCTTTGGCCAGAATAGGCACTTTTGTGGGTGGGGCACCTGAGGAGCTGGGGTCCTAGAGCATTGTCCCTCCAGCCCCAAACCCAACCCCCTATGCCACTGCCCAGAAAGCTAATCTCCACCCACAAGTCACTTTTCTGATGTAACTAACCAGAGGGCGCTGTCCCATCAGATCCCTGAATCCAGGGACAGAGAGGGAGGGAGGGAGGGAGGGAGGGAGGGACAGGCTTGGCTGGGAGGGGATGGGGAGGGAGAAGCAAAGGGGGCCAGCAAAGACTCCCCTGACACATGTTCACATGTTTATTGGCGAGAGGGACAGAGAGGACCCAGCGGAGCCCAGTAAGGGTCTGGGCCTGGGGGTTCCCAGGCCTGTGCCAGCATCGTGGGACCTATGGGAGTGGGGTAGGGCTTCATGGGTTCAGGCTGGGTGCAGGAACAGTGGTGCCCAGAACAGAGTGGGCGGCAGCAGCAGCAGCAGTAACAAGAGGTCTGTCTCTGGTGGGCTCCGGCTCATTACCTCCCGGATCCAGCGGAAGTACTTGCTGACGTTGGTGTAGACACCGGGTCGGTTGGGGCGCCCGCAGCCCACGCCCCAGCTCACCACTCCAACCTGATACCACACGTTGTCCTCTTCACAGACCAAGGGTCCCCCAGAGTCACCCTGGGGAACAGTGCGTGTGAGCCTGGGGGCAGGGTGGGGGGCACCTG